AACCTTCAAGATTTGAAGACTGTTTGTGTGGAAGAATGGCCCAAAATCACACCTGAGCAATGCATGCCACTAGTTTCTCCATACAGGAGGCGTCATGAAGCTGTCATTGCCAACAAAGGCTTTTGTATAAAGTATTAGATAAATTTCAGTAAGCGTGTTCAATACTTTTTCTCTGTGCCATTCCATATTCTTACAAATAACTTCATTTCTGGACATTTATGGTTTGATTTCTTTGTATGTATGGATCACTTGGGTTGTTACCGACATCTGGTGAAAGTTTCATGTCATTAGCACCTCTAGTAATATATTTACTGAGAAAAATGGTGACGTGTTCAATACTTACAGTATTTTACCCGCTGTAGTTCTTCATTTATTTTCGGAACATTTTGAACTCCTCCTGCTCAGTTGTCTCTGCACTTGCAGCCATGTTGACACAGGTGTGATGATGATGATGTAACTGATGACAGAATGGTAGAGGGTAAATTTCTACTGTAGGCCAACTTCATATAGGTTCTATTGCATATAACGCGCAGCCCTAGTTCAAACTAAGTCTGCTACCATGGTGACCTAACCAGGCTTAAAGAAATCCTCCATTGTGACTACTGAGTAGTGAAAGAACTTATTAGTTTTTTAGCATGGTTGCTATCTTCCTGCTGCTGCACTTTATTTTAACTTGTGAAACAACACAACATGCAAATACTGTATATCCCCTGGTATGTTGTGTTCATTGGTATATCCTATAAATAATAATAATAGTGGGCTGATTTGAACAAAAAAATGACGGGCCGTTTTTTGGTCCCAGTTCAGCCCTGATGAAGTAAGAAGTGTGATGATCTGGGCCTGTCTTGCTGGATCAAGGGTTGGGTCTGTCAGAGTTTCCACCAGTTTCTGAGTGCATTGTGATGGTGAAGGAAACTGGCCTCACACACACCAAGACTTGCAGTTTTGGGTAACCTTACCCTTTTTTAAAACCTATGGCAGTTCAGCACTTACCTTTGTACCCTTTCAAGCAGTTCGTTAGAACTGAGCTGCTTGAATATCAAATTTAAACAAGATAGAATGTGACGCCAACCATCACCGATGTCCCCCATCGCCATTCAATATTCAACAACAGTTAGCGGCTTTTTTGGAATCATCACAGGCCTTCATTATTTAAATCATCTCATGACGTGAACCAACAGACGGATGGGGCTAAAGTGATCATTCCAGTAGTGGGATGGATTAGGATTGACCATAGTGAATTTGATGCAGATTGGTTGAAATATGTGGAATTTAGAGCCAAGCGTATGTCATTGGCGTGATATCTGACTTGACAGCCAAAAAAGGTCACTTCCTATTGGCAGGGGGCGAGGCTTTGACAATGTCATATGACATGGTGGGGTCGGGTGTGCAACATAGATGATTCATACCATGTTTGGTGTATTTTAGTCTTTTTATGTGAAAGTAACAGTTTTCTGAAATTGTAAAGGACGGACAGAGAGCATTTCTATGTCCCCCGCCTCCAAAAATAGAAAAAAATAGTTTTTTTCTAACTGGAAGAATTATGGTGTTCTAAAACCTTTGACCGGTAGCGTCATTTGTTAGGACGTACCAACAGTTTTTATGGTAAGTGACTAATCTCTGATTTGGATATGCCAGAAATGACCTGCGATCACAGAAAAATGGTTGAATTTAAAAGCAACGAGCCTGAATGCCCCACAGAGCACATGGGTGTATCTAAACTAAACCTTAGTGATAATCTGTCACAAAGACCAACAAAGTTTCATCAGAAGTAAGGACTGAAGTGATAAACACATTAAGAGAAAAATCCCAGGTGTGACCCAGTCATTTAGACAACTACATTCTACTAATCATATCAATAATATGATAGAACTATTGATAACAGTGTAAAAAGAATACAGAAATACTCAGTATTTTGGATTACTAAGAATTTAGAAAAGCATAAAAGAATTTCACTTACCCAAATTACTTTCATTGACAGCATCTGTTCAAACAAAATAAAACCAAAAAAAAAAAAAAGCAAAGTATTAATAAACAGGATCAATCAAGATGGAATGCTGGAGTATATTTCAACTTTGAGGCTTTTAAGAAATAGGCTCCAGAGTGAAAAAATACTTGTGTGGACAGATTAAACATCTCTTTTTTAAAACTGTGGTGTCATAAAGTCACCACCCTACAACCATAGAAACTGAAAGTAAAAATAACAAATGAATATATGCTTGATCTAGTTTCTCAAGTACGAGTAAAAAATCTTTAAGAAATTCTATCACTTTAGTGAGCAGACAAGGGTGATGAAGAGTAATTTTATTTTAATAGAGAGCTAAAACCTTTGTTATTAAATCAAACAGCTTGAAGTCAATTTTTTATCTCTACATTCAATTATCAACAATAAATAAAGCAAATGTTGGAAAAAAAAACATAATACATGCAGGTTAAAAGTTATTTATGAGAAGATTTAAAAGACAGTTTTAATAAAAACAATAGTTTACATATACACATACATTATATAATCCCATCTGTAACTCTACTGCACATATTATTATTATTATTACTATTATTATTGCTATTATTATTATTATTATTATAGTATTGTTTTATAAGTATTACAAATGAACTGAATGATTCAATGAATGTGCACACCTGCAGTGTGATTAATCAAACTTGAAACTGATTGTCAATGTTTGTTTTATTGAACACATTTGCAGGGCAGGTTCAAACAGGCTGCACTCATTGTACCTACACCTCAGTTATCTGCTCCCTCCACCCGTGTTGTATCGTATGAGAGAACAACAGATTTTTTGTTAAATTTACAGATTTCTGAAATGTGGTTTGGAACTACTGTATACCATACCATCTTTATTTATAGAGCACTTTCAACAACCACAGGACCAAAGTGCTGTACACATAATAAAACATGCATACATTAATAATACCAATAATAAAATAAAATAAAAAACATCAAATCAACATTACAAATTGTGTTCAAAGGCTAGAGAGAAAAGATGAGTTTTAAGAAGAGATTTAAAAACAGACAGGGACGACACCTGTCTGATGTCCAAAGAAAGGTTCCATAATTTCGGAGCTGTAACAGAAAAAGCACGGTCACCTCTAAGCTTACGATTTGTTTTGGGCACAGTCAGGAGCAGCTGATCAGCTGACCTGAGGGATCGAGAGGGTCTGTAGGGTTGTAGCAAATTGGACAAATACGGCAGAGCAAGACCATTAAGAGCTTTAAAATCAAATAACAAAACTTTAAAACGAATCCTAAAATATATGCGCAGCCAGTGCAGGGAGGCTAAAACACCAGTCAAAAACAGAAGCGATGCTTCAAAATCTAAACTGTGAACTTTGACTAAGAACATGGACACAGTGTATAGTGTTATGACTATACTATACTGTGTACTTGTGTGTGTGTGTGTGTGTGTGTGTGTGTGTGTGTGTGTGTGTGTGTGTGTGTGTGTGTAGTAAGAGTTATCATGCATTTATCATTATCGAGGTGAACTGGTCAATATATTGTGATATTGATTTTAGGCCATATCGCCCAGCACTAACACTCAGTATGTGTTGTGAATTACTCTCAGCTACATCCACTTAAAATTAGGGCTGTCAAATGATTAAAATTTTTAATCTATTAATTCCAGGGTAGCTGTGAATTAATCATGATTAATCTTTAACTTACTATAAAACTTTAAAATTTTAAATATYATTTATTTATTAAATAAATAAAATAAAAAAGCCATATGAAGATTTTAAGTTAAAATCTTAGTTCAATGTCTGAAAAATGGCCTGGAATGGAGCTACTAATGCCATGTTGCTCAGCTGTGGCAGTCATCTTGAATTGGACTGATTCCAAAAGGTAATCAGCTGAGGATGCTCTTCTAATATTAACTTCCTTTATTAAAATTAAGTAGATTGTTTATGAAATATTTTTGCTAACACACAGAATTAACACCAAATAGTTCAAAGTTATTTTTCAATATTTAAGCTTTGAGAATGTGTTGAAAATAACTCAATTACTACCTTACCAAATCGAAGGTCAGTAAAATGGGCGGAGCTACAGCCAAGAATGTGTTTAAGGTCAGTTGACTGCATTCATCTTGAATTAGGTTCATTTTTAAACGTTAGTTCCAGATGTACGTTCAAAAATTGCCTTCTGAAATTTCTAACAAAGCTTATCCAGTGACATAGGAGATATTTTGCTAACAGACACATGAACAAAAAAAAACATTATAGCTCCATCTTAGCCTTTTGGCGTTGGGCGATAATCATTATTAAACCCTTCTAAACAACAAATCTTGTCAAATGATCAACACTGTTAGTGTGAATGGTTAACAGTGGTTAATAGATGCCTTGGTTGACTTATCAAATTAAAAGCTACACAACCCCCTGCCCTCTTCATCAGCAGCTCAGAGAAATTTTTCTGACATCCTCACACCAAGTGCCGAAAGCAAGGCACCCTTACGAGGCAGAAACGGTGACATCACTCAAACAAGAGCTAAACAAAATAGGCCACAGCTGTTTGGTTCTTCAGGCTACAATTTAGACTCAATATGTCAGACAGAATCACATCACAGGAAGGACTGAGGAAATAAGCACCAAGTCTTCCCTGTCAGAATGAGCTGCTGTTATCTCTTTCTGCTTGTTTCCCACACAGACACAGCTCATGCTAATTTGTGGATGAGGACTGAGCCATGTAGGGCGTATTGGTGGGGAATGGATGAATTATGGAGGGATTTAAATAATAAATAGACTCTTTTCAACCACACGAAAGAGTGTTGAAAGGGGAGAGAGTAATCAGCGAGGTGGTGAGACACTTTCATTTTTTTCCCCCTTTATTAATACAAGTTAGTCTTACTGAGACACAATTGTCTCATTTTGCAGGATTGACCTGATCAGTGGAAAACCTTTTCCACCAAACAAATCTTAGACTTGCTGTATGAATTATACCTTACTGAGTCAATTCTGGCTTATGAAAACATCAGAAGATTTATTCTATGCATGGGAGACAGTGAGTTTGTGTTCAGCGCTGCTGTAGTTCCACTCTAATATGAAAACAGAAGGACTAAGTGATGCTTGGATGTGCACACATGTGGATAGAGATGAAACACCAGGGGTCAGGTTTACAAAAGATTGCATGGAAACCATACTAAAAGTGAACGTACGGCCAAAAGGCAGAAATGGCGTACGCCAAAAATAAAATTCAGATTTATAAAACCTTGCGTACGCATGTTTCTGCGCATCTTTCCTTTTTAAATCACAGCCGCACGTCAGAGTTTGCGCACAAGGTCCCGCCTCAGGTTCTACCCTCTACACGCCCACACTCAACCATAAACAGTCAATGCAAAGTACCTCATGAATGTTAAGATGTATTTAAATCAGTCAGCTTATCAATACCTACAAAAGTGATTGGTTCAGACACGCTCCGTCCTGTGTCTGGAGGATGACAGGTGCTGACTGACAGCTGCTCACGTGAACAGAATGTCTGTGATTGACACAGATTTTCCCTCATTTTGCAGATTTACAGACATTTAGAGTAATCTAATGATTTTTATCAAAAACTCAGCTTCAAGTTAATTTTCTCTCAGAGCCTTCAGGACGATAAAAACAATAAAAATAAAATTAAATAAGT